GACTATCAGTATAATTTCAATAATTAGGCAGGCACCACAGAAGCCTTTATCTTAGAACATTTTACTGCAATATTTTATAAATGCCCTTCCAGTAAACCCACGTTCGACTACTTATAATATACACCATCACAGACTGGTATAATATTATTTTCAAGAATTATCAAGACTTTCAAATATTTAATTCTCAGTTGTTTTTGACAAGAAATATACAATACCTACTTTCGACTTACTGCTTACTTTGAAAACGTAACACTATGTTTTCCAGTGTCATTTAATCCACTGCCCTGAATAAGTGCAAGATTAAGCGTTGTAAAAACTGCCATTTATCAATGTCACCTCTAGGCGAGCAACATGAACGGACTCAGCTTTTAAAGTAAATCTGAGAAGTGGACTGTAGTCCCGGATAAATCACTAATATAGACAGAGTAACAAGCTTGTTAGATGCAGGCTTCATACAATCTTGAACCGTCAGAAAGTTATTTCCCTCAACTTTTGAATAAATTAATACTGAGGCATACTTGAAATAGTTAAGCAAAGAGCACTTCATTGAAAATGGTTATCTGGATCAACTACACATTTCAAACTATTGCCCGGCTGCATTCTTTTGTAGGAATTCTAAACGTGGTGGTACTTGCATTCTCGTTAGAGCAGGGATACACTTTAAGGAAATATCATATGCAGCAAGACAATCTGTTTCGGGCGTCATTGAGTTCTGTGCAGTAGAAATACCAGTTCATAATATTATTATTATTTGTTTATATAGGGTTCCGAAATATAATTACTCAATATTTTATGAAAAATTAGACTTAATACTAACTTACTTTTATCGTTCATTTAACAAAAAAATAATTTTGTGCGGAGATTTTAATATTGACATTTTAAAAAATAATAAAACTACTTCGGAATTTAAAAATTTTCTAAAGCAATACAATCTGCAGCTAACACTTTTTACACCAACTAGATTAAGCAGTCAGACTTGCATCGATAATTTCGCCCATAATATCATGAAAGGATGCAAAACTGAAGTTTTAGATCTCATTTTGTCGGATCATGCATCCATTATACTTAAAGTCCCTGTCAATAAGGTATGTAAACTTAAGTTTTGGAAAATTAAAAAACGGGATCAGTCTATTGAAAATTTAACAAATTTTAAATACCATCTAAGCTGTTTATCCTTTACTGAAATATATAATGCCAAAAATGCCAATGAGGCCTTTGACTTCTTTTTTGACGATTTTTCACTACTTTATAATTTATGTTTTCCAGAAAAAATTGTAACTATTAAGACCAACAAAGCAACTAAATGGTTATCTTATGGAATAAAACTATGCAGTAAGAAACAAAGAAAACTACTTTGGACTTACAGATTAAATCCTAACCACAGTAATAGAATAGCTTTAAAAACATATACAAAACTATATAAAAAAATTATCAAACTTACCCAAAAAGCACAAAATAACCACTTTATACATACCTCTCAAAACAAATCGAAGGCTACTTGGCAAATAATAAATAAGTCAAAGTTGTGCATGCCACGAGAGTCAATAATATGCTTAGAAAAAGGTGATGATGTGGTAACGCACCCAGAAGATATTGCTAATGAATTTAATAATTATTTTGTTGATGAAATTGAAAATAATATTAATAATGATATTAATTCTTACAATAATAATTCTATAAATTGGACATCTAATTCACTATTTATGCAATCAGTAACAGATAAAGACATAATTAATATAATATGTAATCTTAAAAATACTAATACGGTAGGATATGACGGAACGTCGACAAAAGCTATTAAACACGTAAAAGAAATAATAGCCCCACATCTAGCACACATAATTAACATGTGTATAACAGATGGAATATTTCCAATAAAACTAAAAAATACAATTATAAAACCACTACATAAAAGGGATAGTAAAACATGTTTAAAAAATTATAGGCCAATTGCTAAGATACCTATACTCTCAAAGATTATAGAGAAAGTTATATATAACTCCCTGTATGACTATTTTGATAAATACCACTTATTTTGTGACGAGCAGAAGGGATTTCGGAAAAACACTACAGTAAACATGGCGGTATTTGACTTCCTAGACGATATTGTAACATCAGTAGATAAAAGAAATCCAGTTTGCGCAATATACACGGATATGACTAAAGCCTTTGATTATGTGGATCACAATATCTTGTTAAATAAATTACACAGTTATGGTGTCCGAGGAAACGTCCTTCAACTTTTGAAATCGTACCTCAGCGACAGAATTCAGTATACGGAGATCAGTAGGCTATGTCCGAGGAGTAAGCTTGAAACGACATATTTATCAAAACGAAGACATATTAAATATGGCGTCCCTCAGGGCAGCGTTCTTGGGCCGTTACTTTTTCTGATATATATTAATGATTTACCGAAAACTACATCACACAAAATGGTCCTATTTGCAGACGACAGTACAGTCATCATAAAATGTAAAAATGAACTCGACTATGAAAATGAGATCAATAAATGCTTATATGATATCATCAATTGGCTTAACAAAAATAATTTAGTAATTAACTTAAACAAAACAAAGGTTATGCACTTTCATCAGCGTCGTCATCAAGAAAATATTAAAATCGCGTATGAAAACCGTTGTATCGAGCAAGCAAATAAAACCAAGTTCTTGGGTATAGTCATTGACGACGTCCTCAGCTGGAAGCCTCATGTTGAGGAGTTATGTAAAAGGTTAAGTAAATCCGCATACGCGCTTTTCCAACTTTCAAAAAAAGTAAACCTTCAGGCTCTTCTTGCAGCATACCATGGATTCGTTGCCTCGGTATTACGCTATGGCATTATATTTTGGGGGCAGTCTACAGATAGAGAGCTTGTGTTTAGAATGCAAAAAAGATGTTTAAGGTCAATGTGTGGTCTGAAGACCACAGACAGCTGTATTGCACACTTCAAATCACTAAAAATATTAACATTGCCCTCCATGTATATACTGGAAACAGCTGTATTTGTAAAACAAAATCCTCACTTATTTCCAAAATTGAGCTCAGGCAGGAATGTTCCCATACGCACCCAATATATTAATAAACTAAGCCAAGTAAAATGTAAAACAGCACTTATGTACAAAAGTTTGTTTGGTAATGCCCCTAGAATTTATAATAAGATTCCCAATGAAATAAAAAATACAACAGTAATTAGATTTAAAAGTATTCTCAATAAATTATTATTAAACAAATGCTATTACTCAATTGAAGAATTCCTTAATGATAATATTTTTTGACAAATTTAATTTATTTCTTGACAATTTCAATTTTTTCTTGACAATTTTAATGTATTTCCTGATAAATTTGATAATTTTAATTGACATAATTTTGACATACCTTATTTTTATTATTTTATTATTATTGTACAAATTTAACTGAAATTGTAATATTTTAATAATGTTCAAATGCATGTACCTAATATATTTGTATGTCTATCACGGCAAAACATAGTGGACTATCTTTATATGTAAGACCTTATTATGTAAACTACCTATGTTTAACAAATAAATGATTCTGATTCTGATTCTGATTCTGATTCAAAATATTCATGTTCTCGTTTTGCTATGGGTTTAGATATTTTTTGGTTCACTTCAAAATTTTGGAGAAAATTAAGCTTATCCTTCATTTTAAGAGTATTTGTGTCTCTTAAAACTGTGTCCATAAAGGTTTATACTTACATAATGTACATTCTATGGGTAAATTGCTATTTATTGGATGAAAGTATTGAATAAGATCCATCGATGTTAGCTGGTAGACCATGTCAGTCGTCCGTCGGCGTCTCAGAGGCGAGTATCGAGCGACTTAGCAAACCACAGTCCACATCCAATGATATGCCCGGGCGTAAGTTTTTGGGCAGGTTGCCAATACAAAATGTCATTTCTTGCCGGCCAGGGAAAGGTAGCTAGAAGTTTATTGCGATCTCCACGTAAATATCGACTATTGTTCCGAGTATCCAAGGCCCCCCTCAAATCGTTCGAACGCCAGTGAATACTATCTTCGCAAAATCGCAAAGGGGAATAAAGAAGTAAAGGAATTCTCAATACACATTATGTGCGTAGGTTGTATTGTTTCACCCAATTTATTTGTTTCCCCCTAGTTTGCGCTTAGTTCGCCCGGTGTGGGCTCGGATAAATAATTCGCGTGTATTGACGGTGTAATACAATATACAGACAAACCATTTTACAAGGTAGGATGACTCCACTTTTTTATAATGTTACAGTGGTGGGACAGTGATGTTTGCAAACATCATTCGGGCTTTGAGGAAGTGTCTGGTTTCAAATAACTCTTATGTCCAGAAGTTTTAAAATATAGCCAATGTATGAATTTTTAAATAAATATTTTGTAATTGTCTAACTACATAGTGAAGTTTTTGACTTTATAGAAAGCAAAACATTACCTATGGCCAAGAAATACCCAATGTTTAATAAACTAGGTCGCATAAGAATTCAAAGAATTCATTCCAGTTTTTAAAATTCTCATTATTTAACCCGTTTCATACTCGTTATGGGTTAGAAAATTATAAGAGTAGGAATAGTCCCTAACCCATAAAAATATTAATGGATCAGGCGGCGGTGTGAAGAAACGGATAGTTTACGTAACCGTCCGACATCCACTAAATTATATGAAAGTGTAATTACATGTATGATCCATTAAAGCGGTCATTAATGAGAGCGAGTCGGGCCAAGCACACGTAAGTGCCGCGCAGCGCACTGCGAAGCGGCTGCCCGGCTGCTCGGCTGCCGGCTGGCCCGAACTCGTTACGTCTTGCGTAACTTCTCTCTGATTGTTCAAATTTCGATTTTATGTTGAAACTAATCGTAGTAAACTCGAGAAAGGATCCAATCGAGCCCGAACTCGCCACCGCCGACGCCCTCTCTTACGGGGCTACCTTTCACGACTACTTTCGGAAGTGACGCAATCGTCCATTTCGAGTGCCCGCTCCCCAATAGGTACCAACAAACAGATTAAGCATCACATTTGGTTTTATTATAAAAATAAAAAAGCTATATTATAATACATAACATAACAGTCGCAGTAAAATGCCTCTTTTCGAACAACATTAACACTGTGCACTAATAACAAGTAAATGAGTGGCGATGATGAGATAATCGATGAGTCGTGTTATGTCGTAGAGTAGCTCGCAGGCGAACGCGGTGCAGGTGACTATGTACAGGGCGTTCGGCCGCGCGCTGCGTGGCGCGGTGGTAGGATCGGTCCATCTTCCCCGGTCGCGGGTACGAGCCGCGATCGTTTGTAACGCTGAAGACTGGCATAATTTTCGCTTAGCAATAAATAACTCCACTTAGTATCCTACCACCCATGCTAATATTCGTTTAGTGGAGGGGTCCCGCCACGTGTCCGGGGGGTCCGTACTGGGAGCTGGTGGCTCCGCTGTGGCCGTCAGATCCACTGTCATCACCACCGCTGGCACCGAAGTCACCGCTGATTTCAATTCCACCATGACCGCCAGCACCACCGCCGATACCAGAGCCAGATCCGCTGCTGATGGAGATACCGCCCAAGTCACCACCGCTGACACCACCGCCGATACCGCCGCCGATAGCACCACCGCCGATACCACCGCCGATACCACCTCCGATACCGCCGCCGATACCACCAGCATCACCACCACCGATACCGCCCTCCTTCTGGGTCTGGTACTTGATGAAGTAAACTTCGGGTTTGGAGGGCTGAGTGGGCGCGGGGGTGGGGATGACGATGTCGGGTTGCTCTTCGGGTTTCTTGACCAAGACGTAGACGAGGGTCTTCTCTTCGTTCTGGGGCTGAATGGGGATGATGGGGGCAGTGGGGGTAGGAGGAGTCGGGGCCTTGATGAAGATGATCTTGTAGTGCTTCTGGGGAGGAGCAACTTCAGGAATGCGGGGCTGTCTCTGTTCTACGGGTTCTGGGGGTGGTACGTGAACGTAGATGTGTTTCTGGACAAGAGCGCCACCGGAATATCCACCAGCGTATCCGGCATCATCACCTCCAAATCCACCGCCGATGCTTCCTCCACCAATGCTGCCTCCTCCAATGCTACCGCTTCCGAAAGAAAGTCCTCCAGAGGAGTGTCCGCCTCCGAAAGAGAGTCCACCGCCGGAGTGACCACCGCCGAAGGAAAGACCACCACCGGAGTGGCCACCACCAAGGGAAATGCCACCGGAGTGTCCACCAGAGTGACCTCCTCTATGACCACCAGAGAATCCTCCAGAGCTGGGGGCTGAGTAGCTGTAGCCTACTGGGGGCTCGGGGCGGCCGTAAGCCAGCGCCACGCAGGCGAGTACCTGTAACAAGGAACAATACAAACTTAATGACAGAATACACAAGTCATGTTATGAAGCTACGTATAATGGTTCTTGTGGAGAAGTGGGTGCGACTGATGTATGACCCGTTTATGTTATAGGTATAGACAGTTTAATTTCCAACGATAACGAACATCGACGGAAATGAAAACAGATTGAATCTTTGAGGTTTATGTGTAACCCTTAACACAAATGAAGCCGTCAGTTGGTTAAGTCGGTTAATATGACCACATTAGCTAACCACATCACATTAGCCGAGTCGGAGAGAAAGATATCCAAGAAGTAGGTAACGCTTATAACACATTGACTAGTGACTAGTTAACTAACACGACACAGAGAGCGCGTAGCATTATCAATTCGCAAAGCATAATTATCCCATATATTTGATGGGCCATGTAAGTTTTGCAATAAATATAACAAATACGAAAGTGAATCTATTGAAATAAGAAACTGTACAAAATGGGATGTGACGTAAGGACAGCTCGTATGCGGTAGTCGTAAACAAGGTGAAATAATTTGTATTATGTAATGGGGACGGATACGCGGAATTTTGGCGGTAGACGGTTCGCACTTTATGCGTTTGCTTGTTAGAATACAGATGCACGCACCGCGTATTGTGCGCATGTAAAGCGTCCCATCATACGGGTATGTATCCAGTGAAAGATCGAACCCGAAATGAATAATGATCGACTGGCTTTTATGAAGTTGTGTAACAAATGTGATCAACATAATTGGAACTCCTGTTACCCAACACCCGTTTAATTCAAGTTCACATGTGCAAGGGGAACCCATTGCGATTGAACCATTATACTTTAGCTCCATCTAATACGGTATCAATTACAGATAACCCAATATTCACTATTTGAAAATGAAACACTATTTTTAAGATACGCTTTACGTTACAGGACTCCAGTTATTATTGTATTTATTTTAATTTGGAGGCTGTATATTTTTGAATATAAGTCACTTAATTTTTTGTTAAATAATAACTTATTATTGATTTAATAAGTCACAATCACTGATAATGGAATCATTGTCACTACTTCAACGTCACTGAAGTATTGATATTTCACTATTTGGCACACTACGATAGTCCAATCACTGAACACTTCACTTCAGTTCCATAATTCCTGAAATGCTGATAGTCCTCTGTATAAAATATCACATTAGGAACACTGATTATTTAAATGTAATTATCAATCGCATGTGCCAAATAAATGAAATTAAATTATTATAAGTGATCCCGCGAGCTGCTTACCATGAATGCGCGCATATTGTGCTTGGGTGAGACGGCTCCGTGTGTTAAAGACCTTTACTTGAAAGGCGAGTGGTGCAACCGATTAGAACAACTCCACTTTTCGGAGATGTTCCTGTGGCTGTGAGCTTGTGTTAACTGATGACATTCGCCATGCCGACCCGCTCTTAAATAGTAAGGTGCTCATCTCGTCAGAACACTCCATCCCTACGAACATTTCACTCGGTAACATGCAACTATCGTCATTATTTAACAACTATACGGTCCTTTCTTTTCGCCGAGGTCCACGGCCGGCGCGGGCGCATTCGATACGCTGCCTTAGCGACCACCGCTCGCCTGCACGCACCGACTTGCTCGCCGTCCACTGCCACTACAGCCCACTTTAGCTCGGCCGCCTTACGATCGGGTCGCACATACATCTGGATCGATTTGTTTTCTTTTTTTGTAATCAATATCTACATATGCTAGTTTCCGTATAATGCATCAGCTGTCTGAAATTCTATCACACCCGGTTGGTTGCGTAACTCGGCGGGAATTTAAGTTCCACACAAAGATTTTAATCAGCGTTAGAGAAAATACATTGAAGATGTGGCTGGATACAATGTCGACGCGACTTGTTTTTCTTTTGGTCGGTGACTGCTGGAGCGTACGAATAACGAAATTGAATCATAAAACTTGTTTGTTGATAATATAATTTGAGAACAAACAGATTTTCCTGTAAGCGGTTAAGGAAAAGCCTTCAGTGAATTACTTTGTTTGGCCTTACTCGCCGACACTTTGTAGTTGATCCAGCTATGGAGTTTGCAACTGCAACTGTTCAACTACAAGTATTAAATTGAAACAATATCTGACGTGGGAGGCGGGAAATGTAACACTTGCTTTGTCACTATTTTGTCGGTACGCAAAGTTGACACGAACAGATTTTCGAAAACTGGACACTGAATTGTTTACACCGTGAATACAGCCAGTCTCCTCATTGTTCTGGAATATGAACTACATTTTAACTCGGTGTTGTGTTAGTTGGATGTTATTGTATGTTTTGATTGGATTTAAGGGAAGCATTTTAAATACAGTATGGTTTGAAAACAGAGAGTTTAATAATCTTAGAATAGGTGGTTGTTGAAAATATTTAAGCAAAAATTTATTTCTTATTAAAATGTTCATGAACTCTTCATGAACTGGTAAGAAGCTAAATGCTGGGTCTTAGGTGCAACCCTTAGTTTAGTCAACGTGTTGTCCTGCCTTATTAAAAAGTATTTATTAGTCATTGTGTGTAGGTATATTAGAAAAATATATTTCATTGGATGACATTTCTGTCGCCCTTAGCTTCCTGTTTGAAATGAAGTACAGCAATTTTAATATCCAGAGACGTTGGCATAGAACCGTAGCAGTTCGAGTAAAAATTAAATCAAACATCGGAACACATTCCAATTTCAAACTAAAAATAACCGCCAACGAATGACGAAGTTCAATGCCAATCTAAAAAAGAAGAAGGTTTCGTCAGAATATTTTCAATCTATGAAAAAAAAATTATTTTATTTTGCATTTTCAAGTTTAATTTTAATTAAGTACATCTCGGTGGTGTAAAATTGTAACTAGACAAAGTACCTCCGTCATAGCCGGTGGCTTGCGTGTACAAAATAATCATTGTTCTTTACAAAGTAACCACTTAGTGGTGAGAATTTTTTATCGTTGCTGCTACCAAATTATGTTAGTACCGTGATTATGACTGTTCTGTGTTTATGGCACGTGTCCCAGCGGGTGATAATATTATAGTGAAATATAAAGTTTGGGGGCGACGTGTTGTTAATGCAAAGCCTAGGCTGCCTTAGACTGTTATATAACGTACCCATTGTGTAAACAGGAGCTTATATTTTGAAGACGTTATATAAAACAGTATCGTATTTCTCAAAATTAATCTTAAATTATGAAAACACGTACTTCGAATTTCCTTAGAAAGCTTAGGTAACTAGGTGCGGCCTACTTATCCTTACCTACTTGATTATTTTTTTTTGTACTTGATCATATACATAAGTCCTGCACGTTGCTTATAATTTTGTATGTAAACTACGACATAACGTATAGTCATTAAATAATTTGCTTATTCATGCGAACCTCTTTTTAGTACCTAATCATTAAGCTTTGGAACTATTTTATGAATTAAAACACTCTTTAGGTTTAGTCTTATCACCTGCAATATTCGTAAGAATGAGTTCTTAAGTCGCAAGGAAAGTGATCTGAAAAATAAATGTTATTCGCTGAAAATTAGTAAGGAATTTATAATAAATATTGTAACTTTCCGGCCAGGATATTTATTTTTAGTTACGGCATCGGTGTTTCATAGTTAGTAGCGTACAAATAATGTTGTTCTGAATACTAAAACAGTATTATTCCGGTTAACATTTGACAATATAATTATAATATACTAGCTACTTCCGCGCGGTTTCACACGCTCTGCTCAGCTCCTATTTCTCGTAGCGTGATGTTTTATAGCGTATAGCCATCCACGATAAATGCGCTATACAACACAAAAAGAATTACTCAAATTAGACTTGTAGTTACGGAAATTAGCGCGTTCAAACAAACAAACAAAAAACAAACTCTTGCGCTTTATATAATAGTAGGTATAAGAGTATAAGATATAAGATTATTATTTACACTACAATGAAGGTAAATAAATAAAATCCTTTGCACATGTCAATATGTAAAGGATTTTTGAGTGTGTGATTTGAGTGTCAACTCAAATAGTTCAAGAATCAAAAGACCGCGTTTTTATGAAAAGAAATACACACGCCATTTTTATTACAAAATCAGAATTCGTTTAAAAATGGAATACATATAGGATCGGAACAAACAACAAACATTGCAGTATCCGTGCAATCGGTTTACAATCGTATTAATTTTTACACCGATTGCTAGTTTTTTTCTTATTTATTTAGTACATAAATCCACATTTTATTTAAAATACGGTTTCGAAAATCATAAATACAATTTTATATGAGACCCTTCTGTAACAAAAATTAAACATTACTTGTGTGTTACGTTACAATATTATTTCAGTTTTATAATAGTCAAAGAAAAGAAAAGACAAGAATAACGTTTATGAACAAAGGATCCTTGTTATTTGACAAACGGTGTCAACACAGACATGTTTCATTTTGATTCATCTTGGGAAATTCCTTCATTTCAATAACACAATTTAATAAACCTTCCAATCCTTAGTATCTCTGAAATCATATTAATTTTTTTAAGCGTCAATCTCCAAAAGTGAGTTATAGATTTCTCGGTAGGTATTTATTTTCATCCTTATTGTAGAAATATAAAAACAAAATGGTGTTTTTAATCGTTATAGTTATTGTATAAATTGTACAGTACAATTATGTACTGTGTGACTACTAAGACAAGGGCTTAATTTCAATATCATACTCACCCCTTGAGAACTAATGACATAACTAATAAAATGTACGACAAACACATGTTTTCATTGTCATTCATGGTTGCCATGCCTATACGTAGACGTTGTTTCACGTCGATTCTCTATGAAGCCGCGGTATCACTCCGGTCTAGCCGGCCCATTCTCTTAAGCTCTCTCACGTGATATGATTTAAATAGATTGTTACTGCAATGATCTTCCGATGTCCATCCTTAGAAATGACGTAGACCGGTCACTCGGTTTCTGAATAAAAGCAGGTCGAAATCGAAATACTTTCGCATTGGTCGAAGGAAGCCTGAGTGGGTCACTTGCTAGTTGCAATTATAGTTACGCCTTCTAATACCCGAGGGGGTAGAATTCACCCTATTCAAATGTCGCATGGCATTACTGTGTGATACTTTTCACAAAGGGATAAGACCGTTGCCAAACACCGAGCTCGATTCAAAATTATTTGCATTGATGTCGATTATCTGTCTAAAAATGTGAAGTAATTGTAGACCTTTTCGTCGTTCATCGTATTTATTCAAATACAATATCTACATAATAATAACAAATAATTCAAGCGCAGACGCCTATTATCGACGAAATTAATTCCCATAACACATCATAAGATTTCATTGCGTTAATTAACGATACATGTTAATATTTGAAACCTTTACATTAATTTCACTAAATGTGCTTGTGCCCGAAATAAACCGCCTGCTAATTACATTATCCTCGAGTTACTTTAACAAAACATAAGCTTCATTAGAACTCTGTATCGTATACCACAATTACTGAAATTAAGACTCTATTCCCACACTCCCAGATACCGGTTTTTAATGTGTGTCTGCCACGATTTATGTCTTGTATTGAATTACGCGTAAGAAACAAATATTAGAAACGATCCAGACTCATTAAACCAGTTGAAGTCAAAAGCAATTGTTATATTGCGATTCAAATATACGTAACTAAATCTAACCTCCTTTTTATTTTCCGAATGGTATAAACATGTCTTGCAAACACCTAATATTCAAAATACATGAAGTAATTCCATAACATTGCAAACATTCCATATACGAAATATTCAACGAAGGTTAAGCCATTAATTTATCTTGTTTAAAACATATAGTAAACAAATTGATGGGCAGAAAACGTTATTTTAATTACCTTCTTTAATTTACGAGTTCTCTAGTATGAAGCAATCTACGCTGCAACCTTTTTTATAGGCAACAAGATACTTCACGTGGTCTCTCTCGCCTTAAAATGTGCCTGACGGCCTGGTCAAGTCGTCTCGGGTTTAGATTTCCGGCTCAAGCAAAGTATCATTGAATATTTTTTTGGAAACTCTCAGTGATAGCACGGATTCTGGAATTATACCGTCGTTTAGGGTTATAAGCCCAACCCTTATTACATATGATTTAAAGTAAATTAATAATAACCAATAAAAGTATCCCTTATAATAAAATTTGACGATTAAAAGGCGAGATTTTACTTTTGTAGACATTTTCATTTAATTTTGTTTTCAATTTGGTCTTAAGTAGAACATAGAATAAGTAAATTCAATTATGTACTAGGACAAACCTAGATTTGGATGCCTACAACACTATTCTATCATTTCATCCCATAACATTGATTGCCACAATATTATGTTATGGTGTCTATGACATACATAATATACTATTTTTAAAGCAAATATTTAGGTTTCCAAATTATGCATAATAAAATCGCTGTTACGATTGCTGAATTA